AGGAGTGGGAGAGTAGATGACCCTCTGGCAGTGCCCTCTAAGGTGACAGGAGGACATTTAGCTGGTTAATGACAACCTATGGCCTAAGGCTCCCGATGAGACCCCCACACCCCGCACTGCCCTTAGCACTCTGGTGAGAAGGTGAAACCTCGTAAAGCATCATGGCTTTTACTTTGATCTTTCTAATAAATGACTCTAAAATCCAAGAAGACATAAAGTAGAAACACTGAAATCTTGTGTGGCTGTTTCAAAGGTTCCCTTGAAGGAGGAGAGAAAGAATAAAGATAGGTAGAAAGGAGACAAGGAAAATCGTGACTAAATCATTGTACTTTTGAAAAGACGGCAACCTCTCCAACACATTCAAAATTACCCCAGGAATTCCCTCGGTTCACTTAGGTTCCTTTCCTTCCAGACTCATCACACCCGAAATTCCTCAGGAATATTTAAGCCCATAAATTGGTTTAGTTTAGAAAGTTAAGAGCAGGAACCTGATCCTGACAGAATTCAAAGAATGCTTAAATTATCCATTAAAAAAAGAAGGCAGCCCAGTAAGGTGGTGCACACCTGTGATTCCAGTGGTCAGGAGGCTGAGGCAGGAGGAATCCTGCAAGTCCAAGGCCAGCTTGGGCTAAATAGTGAGCTCAAGGCCAGCCTGCATTACATAGGGAAACACTGTCTCAAACAAGCAAAACAAACAAACAAGAAATCTGGCTCTGTCCCTATAAAATGAAGTCTGTCCCCTTCTGGGGGCATGAGCTATCTTTTCCTGCAGTTTCTACCCCCTGAAGAGAAGTATAAATGTTCCCAGTTCCAGGAAATAATTCTGCCTCTTGTCTGTCTCTCTCTGTTCCCCGCCTCGGCCCCTACTCCATCTCTTTGAGTGCGTACTTTTAAATTTCTGCCTAATAAGCCCCTTTCCGCCTCTTATTGATGTGTCCTGAAAATTCTTTGGTGAGCGAACCTACAAACTTCCTCCGAAGTTTCGGAGTAGGAAGCCTTTAGGTTCTTTATCTCCACTGGGAGCGGAGTAGGAAGCTCCGGGCAAGGAGCGTTTAGGCTCTTTATCTCCATTGTGCAAGCCTCAGACTGCCTCTTTTCTCTTGGCCAGCCAGCCTCTGGGGCAAAAGCAGCTTGAGTATCCTGACTTAAGGAAGTCCAACCAAAGTGCATTTTCCTCCTACTTCCCCAACCCCTTTGCCCTCTGAAACATAGTTTATTTCTTCTCCTCTCCCTCTTCCCTCCTTCCCCCTCTTCTTCTTTTTCTTTCTTTCTCTCTCCCTCTCTGCAAACCTCTGCAACCTTAGGGGTTTTTGTTTTGTTTTGTTTTGTTTTTTTGTTGTAGCTTTCCTTTTTCCTTTTCAGCAGTTAGAGGCTCCCGGTTCTCCAGCCCTGCAGGGGGTGGGCACCTCATGGGGACACTTCTCTAATGCTATGATAGCTTTTAACCTCAAGACTATCCCCCTGTCTAAAATGAGGCGTGATTTACAATTGCAAGATGGCACCTCCAGACTTTTTAATGAATTCTTTACAGGTGTTTTGAGTCCCAAGATATAAAGACCTTTGGGTTGACTTTATGAGTAGAGCCCAGCTGTGTGTGTTTGTGTGTGTACGTGTGTGTGTGTGTGTGTGTGTGTGTGTGTGTTCTTTTTCCTGCCTTTCTGATCTACTGATGAAGGTTTGAGTAGCTGTGTGGGGAGCAGAAATAAGGACACTTGTCCTGGCTGTGATGGCCGTGGGACTGGCCAATGTCGCTTAATCCCAGGAATAATTTCTGCATGACTGACTACTCCAGGATTGCAGGAGTAGTCACAACAGAAAATAGGGTTCATAGCCTGACCTCAGGGAAGGGAGGGCTGCATAGGCTGCATAACCAGGAAAAGTGGGACTAGCTTTGGCCTGACACCCGGGGGGGGGGGGGTGTATGGTGGGGCTCCTTGCAGTCTGACATTGCGGACCTAAATAGGATCTCATCTTTTTCTCTTCTTTTTTTCTTTCTCCCTTTTTGCAGAAGCTCCACCAGCACTTGCTACTGCCCAAGAAAAAAATAGGCCAGAGCCCTATCTTTTCTTGAGAAGCTGAGGTTTGAAGGAGCAATTCCATAAACTGTGCTGCTGGTCTGTGCCTGGATTGGTCCCTGAGTTCAGAGATTGAGATAACAAAATCTTGCAGAATTGCTCTGAGTGTGAGCCAAACTTTACCCTCTTTAAGCAATGCTATTTAACCCAGCAATTGCTAAACTGAACCTGCAATAAGGCTGGTTATTTAGGTGTGTCGCTGTCACTTTCATCTGTTGGCATCACATGGGTACCTGGGTTGTCCTTCTAAATCCAGGTGCTGTCAGACAATTCACATCACCCCGATTGTGGACAGCAGCAGTTCCCTAGTTTGGAACTAGACCAACGCTGTCCCAAACTGAACTTGTTGGAAATAAATGTTATCAAGGCTTTTCGGAGTTGATTGTTATCCTGACAATCCTGCTACTGCAATCTTTTTTCTTCCTTGGTCTTCCACACTTGGTAGGCACCCTCAAATTTCATCAGGTGGACTTTATTTTTTTTTTTTGTCTTTTTGAGACAGGGTCTTGCTGTGCAGTTCAGGCTGGCCTTGAGCTCACTTTGTAGCCCAGGCTGCCCTCGAACTCACAACAATCCTCCTGCCTCAGCCTCCCGAGTGCTGGGATTACAGGCATGTGCCACCACGCCTGGCGCCAGGTGGACTTTTGAAAAAAGCTCGATATCCCTTTCTTCTGGTCTTCCACCAGTTAGAGAAAGGATATGTCAATTCCAGAATAGCTAGTTTTAATCCTGCTTACAGTTAATTTTGATCAAAACAGACAAAAACGTAAACAAAAACCATGACTAAGTAAAGCAAGTAACTCTGAAACTTTGAAAAAGCTGTTGAAAATATCCCAGAGGCCCCTGAACAATTTTTAAATGCTACTTAAGACACTAAGTAATCAAGGGCCTGCACAAAAGCTCAAAGATGTTATCACAGATCCAGCTTCTGTCTGTCCCTCCCCAGGGTGCTTGTGTCCTCCAGGCCGTTTCCTCAATGAGTACCCTAAGGTTTGTTGCTGACATTTCCCTGACTTTTGTTTGGGAATAACATCTTTCCCAAAGGTCCCTAATGATTTCTTTTCACAGGCATCCAAAGGTCCTGGCTCACAGAGGAGCATGGGAGAGCCTGGGAGAGGTGCTCGGGGTTGGCATCCCCCAGGGAGATCGGGCTGCCTCCATGGGCAAATTCAGAATTGTTTTAGGAAGGGAGCAGTGGGGACTCAATACGCAGCAAATCATACTGACCACATGTTGTCAAACTCAAGTTACTTGTGGACCTGGGAGATAGCTCAGTGGCACCGTGCCTGCCTGGCAAGCACAAGATCCTGAGTTCTGTTCCTGGTTAAAAAAAAAAAAAAAAGAGTTACTTGTATGTCTATAGAAAGTACGCTAGAGACTCAGCCCTATGTCTTGATTTTCTTAAATTTACTGGATAAACTGCTAAACTAAGTGAAGATGAGTTAGTTTACCAGTAACCTGTAATTAAGAACTTCCTTTTTTCTGAGACTGGATCACTCTGTGCAATTCACGCTGGCCTTCAGCTCACCGTGTAGCCCAGGCCGGCTTGCAGCTCATGACAATGCTACCTCAGCCTCCCGGTGTACTGGGCTTACCGGTATGGAGGTATATATCTATCTGTAGATAGATAGATAGATAGATAGATAGATAGATAGATATTCCTCTTTATTAACATGGGTCTTACTTTGACTTGGTATTAAACACCTAAAAGAAAAGTATAACGAAATATGTGCGTGTGTGTGTGTGTGTGTGTGTGTGTGCGTGTGTGTATGTTTGTGTGTGTGTGTGTATGTAGAGATAGGGAAAAAGATTCAAAAATAGTCATATAATAGTACTATTAAACAAAAAGCTAGGCTACAAATAAAAATGGGCTCTAGACTAACCCAGTCCCTCCTGGCAGTCTCCAGCAGAACCTATAGGTCTGGCAGCAGGCCTAAGCAGTCATGATTCCCTTTCTCACAAGCCCTTCTAAAAATGTGTGCCTCCGCCTCTCAGCTTACTCTTATTCAATTATTTTAGTGAACTTTGAAGTACCCTGCAGGTAAAGATTTAGCTTCTTGTACAAGTGTGCCTATAAAAAAAGACAGTACCTATAAATCATCTAGCTACTAAACTTTGTTATATTTGTTGTATAAACTCACTCTTGTTATCTGCTTCCGGTTGTATATGTTTAGATGATCTGGAGGCATTCACTACACGAAGCCTTCAGCTCTACAAAATAAAGGCCAGACACGGGTTCAATAGTAACAACAACAAAAAAAGTTAATAACCAACCCTATGTAGGTAGGAGGTGGCCCCCTAAGAGTCCCCCACGGAGCCCTCTGAATCCTGAAGGGTTGGTGCCCTGAAGGGTGGCTCCTCCGGCATAGGTCCTGGAAGTAGGCTCCCCTCGTGGAGGGGTCCCTCAAGGAACGGGAGGCTCCCCCGCGCGGAGAGGATGCGGGAACAGGAGAGACAGAGGCAGAGAGCGCACCGGAGCGCTATGGGTCTGTGCCGGAACCCACTAAGTACTCTGAGAGCGTTCAGTGGCCACAGCATCGCCAACAGCATGAAAACCCTTTTGCGCACAGGAAGCAGCCTCGCTGAGAGAGGCGGGGGAACTTAGTTGGGGCCCCCGCGAGCAGAATCTGGGAGTCGAGCCCGGCTCCAGTTCTCTCCACGGCACCCCGCGCTCACCCCTGCGGGCTGGGCGGAGGAGGTGCAGCTGTTGTACGCCTGGGCCAGGTCCTCGCCCCGCCCCGCCCTGGCCCGGGCCAGGGCGCAGGGAGGAGCCGCGCGCATGTGCACAGCTGGCGAC